CGTGCAAGGTCTCATCGACGCTCTACTAGCTGTGTCCCAAGTGCCATGGAGGGGAGCTCAGCTTGCAAGAGGGACTGGTGCCGACCTTCTGTTTGTTGTTGGATGCGCGTCCTGCAGAGACATTGTTGCGGAGTTGTTGGAAGAGACTGCAGGATTAGCTTTACAAAGCTCTTGAATCTCTTTGGGGGACTGAATGCTCTGCCCCCAATGCACATTAAGTCCTATTGGAAGGTTGCAGGAAAAGTGTACGATGCCGCGATGCTGGTGGCTACCCAAATAACGGAGCAGGTTGTGCAAGCTGTTAGAAAAGCGTGGGCAACGGAGGGCACGAGCGCCGACAGTGATATTCTGGATGTGTGTATCAGCTACGGTGGCACTTGGCATAAACATGGACACATGTCACAGTTCAGAGTTGGTGCCGCAATTTAACTAGAGACCGGCTTGGTAATCGACTTGGCAGTGCAAAGCAAGTAGTGTCATGAGTTCAGTTGGGCCCCAAGGAAGGTACCGAAGGCTTTGAGGAGTGGGCAGGCACGTATTGGAAGTCCTGCCAAAAGAACTAGGTACTATGAGGGTTCATCGAATGCAATGGAGGTGCAAGCTGCTGCAACTATTTTCAGTCGGACTGTCGACCGGCATAACATGCATTATGTCACTGTCCTGTGCAACGGCGACAGAAAGGCATTTACGCGCGTAGCTGTCTCGAACTGTATTACAAAGAAATCCACAAAGAAGACTGTGTGAACCATGTGGCCAAGTGAATGTATCTGGGCGTGGGAAAGCTTGAAGACCAAAACAGGGCTTGGCGGAAAAAGAAAACTCACTAACGCCGTGATGAAGAAGCTAACAAGCTACTATGCGTGCGCAGCACAACGCTCCAGACGTCCCAAAGATGCAGAAAGCTGTCTTTGCCAGCCTTCTGCATACCTATCCTACAGACCAGGATCCCTGTCACAATGCATGTCCACAGGGCGAGGATTCATGGTGCCACTATAACCGCCACAAGGCTTTGGAGGCAGCCAGCAAGCCTTCAGCACCACGACCCCACCGGCCCGTCTTCTCGATAGATGTCGCCAAGGATATTGTTGCGATCTAAACAGGCTGATGCAGCGGGACTTGCTCCTCCTATGCTCCCGCATGAAAACGCAGAATGCAAACGAGAGCTTCAATACCCTTTCTTGAAAGTGCTGTCCCAAAACGGAATTCGCCTCGCTGCAAGCTGTGGAGACGACTGTTGCTTTAGCCGTGCTTGGGTTTAATCTTGATCCTAGAGGCTTTGAAAGGGTGCTCAAGGAGATGAACATTGCTCCTGGAACTCTCGTTCATTATTAAAACAAAGTATTTCTGAAACGCAAAAATGTTAAAATTATTGCTCTTGTTAGATTGCAGCTTTTATAATTGATTTCTGCTTTAACTTGCAGCATGTGTATTGTACTTCACATTATAGCAAGAATTTTGTGAATTACAGTTAAATGTTTTCAACGATACATTTCCTAATGAGGTCCCTTTTATCTGGAGTTTGAGAAAATTAGTATTTTATAAAATTGGTCTAAAATGCTGAAACTTGGGAGGTTATCCTTTCTCACAGCTTGTGTTCAGTTCACCCTGCAAATTTCGATTGATTTTGGTTAAAGGATTAAAAAGCCGACCCCTCCCCCCCGAGGCCATATCCCCCCTTAAAGTAGTCCTGTTGTTGTGTGAAAGCTGCTGCTTGGAAGTTACAACCGATTTTTGTTTTTGGATGAAATTGAAGTGTAGGAAAATAAGACATTTTCCATTCACTGCTGTTAGGACCGGACATCTAAAAATCAGGCCTGTTGTAAAGATGTTTATGCATTGAGAATGAAAAATACACAGCGCAAAAGGACATAAAGGAATAGACTCACTGAATCGAACAGGGCGCTCTGTTCTATCCGGTGTGTCTCTTCCATTTATGTTCTTTTGCGCTGTGTATTTTTCATTATGTACAACCAAAACCAACCAGCCCAACTTTCTACTTTATTACAATTGCAATGAGAAGTTAGTGTACCTTGTGATGGCGTCATTTGTCATCTCTGCTGATAGGGCAATTTGACCAGTGTAATATGACTGCGGGGTTTTTAATTGGGCCTATTGCCAGTTCATATTGAAACCAGCGGTAATCGACCTAGCTCCTAATATTTATAACTGTGAAACTGTGGCACAAGCTTCAGTCCCACATTATGGCATTTAGATATGGTGTCTTAAAGCGGTACTGAACCCAAACTTAAAATATACCTCTCATGTTCAGAAGTATATTAAATACGATCAACTCTATCTGCTAATGACAATTGCAAGTTTGTATTTCAAACGGATGGCTGTATTTTTCATTTTAAACGTTTGATTCTGGCGAGTGCTTCAAAATCAGCCATCGCCGAGCGCGGTGCGTCTCAAGATGGCCACGCACACCACAGAGCTCAGAGCTCTGTGGTGTGTGTGTACTCTTTTATCGGTCCTCGTCTTTTTAGCACTTTTAATCTTCACAATGTATCACCAACTAGCCCAAGTCAATACCCTTTTATGTTTCATAAACAGATTGAGTTCATTTTTATTATTATTATTTCTTAGAACTCGTTTTTTGCTTTGAGAACTGACCCTGTAAAGGGCCGCCCACACTGGCGAGAAAACGCGCCCGGCGCGCCGATAAATCGGTTAAGCGGGAAGATAAAGGGCGTGCCTCTGCACGCGCTCGTGGCGCTGACTGTGCTTCGGCGACATTTTGTTACTTGCCGCGATCGGCGTGCCACGCGCGTTTTCTCGCTAGTGTGGGCGGCCCATAAGTGTGATGTTAGTGCTTCAAACAAACCATTGCTAGGGGCGTTGTCAAATATAGATGAATACATGGGACTACATTTCGTTCCGAAAAAACAATCGGTCAAAAATCGGATGTAGAATTTAAACATCTAAAAAGAATAGATAAAGGGAGCCTAGGTTTCACACTCACCACAACAGAAGTTGGCCAAGAATTGGCTGATTCTGAAATATTTGTGATGACAACTTCCAGTCTTCAAGACGTCTCGAGATGCCTGCTGCAGGCGATGAACGTATGACGAACGCAAACGAAATGTCTGAAGTATGCTGTCTGCAACAATTTGAATTGTTTGCACAATGATACGATTTTGATTTTGTAAATATTCGAAACATGGCAGGCTTAAAAAAACTCACCAGCTTTATAATACAAATTGTATTTGCATGCAGTATGGGATACTGTCTGACGAAAATCATCACACGCATGGAGATCCGCTAAAAGTACAGCGAGAAAAGCATCTGTCTAGAACATTAAATCAAACCAGCTGTTGTGCTGTTGACATGCATTCTAACGAAGGAGCCATTATTTAGACTCTAACTTGAGTGATTCGAGACCCAAACTTCGCTTTTCAGGCTCGCAAATATTGGTGTGTGTTTCGTACCTGCTTGTAATCATCACACTGAGAAAAAATACTACTGATTCTTCAGATTTAAGTAAGACACCAAATAGCAAAGGAGCTGGCTATTTACATCGGGAAAGTTATATATATATATATATCTGTTAAGGACAGTTTGTTTGATTACACAAATGTGCACTCGAGCAACTTTGCTTTCAGAAATCCTTGAAATTTGTGCTGGCCTGCACTTCGACCCTGATACACTTTGTGTTGTCGTCGTACGTGATTCGGCTTTACCAGCCAGGATTTTGTTTCGGGGGGGGGGGGGGGGGGGGGGGGGGGGCGGGGCGGGGCGGGCGAGCGGGCGGGCGGGGGGGCCCGCCCATGACAAAATACTGTATGAAAGGGAGGGGGGAGGAGGGTCCCAGCAAAAGATTCTGAGGGGGCCCCCCCCCCCTGGCTACGTGCCTGGGCTTTACAGTGTTTTCACCTTCTCAAATTTTGCGGAAGCAAGCTCCACAGGAAGGCATTCGCACGCTTGCACACAAGCTGTGCACGGGCACTCTACGCTTCCGAAATCCCACAGAAGGTTGACCCCGAATATTGAAGTTCTGTCGATCGTCACCACCTTCATTCAGTGCACTCGTGTACTCCCTCAGAAAGAACCACTGAGCTCGCAAACCCATCGTGTCGTCTGCTAGCAAGGCAAAACATTTTGTCAGACTTTATTACGAGCTTTTGTCACTGCTTTATGGTACTGAGACCAGGGGCGTAGCCAGGCGTGGGGCTTATGGGGCAAAATCCAGCAGACCCTATAATATTCATTTTGACCGCCCACCCCCCCCCCCCCCCTCCTCTCCGCACCCCAAGTCATAGACATCCCAGCGACCTTAGCCCCTTCCCAAAAAAAAAAATTCCTGGCTACGCCACTGACTGAAACGGTAGAAAAATTTGTCATGGTTAGGTATTGAGAAGAGGCAATGCTTACAAAAAATTATTTACTTTTTTATCAGACAATTTCTAACCTCACGTCGAGTCCCCATGCATTTGTCCATAACAACGGTCCTAGCAACAGTTTGTATGAAGCAGAGCGCCATGTTGTGACATCATTACTTAATGGGTCAATAACATGAATAGTTCACTGTTGTTAGTCACAGTTTTTGCCTTCACTATTATTTTCTACAGGCAACAGATCTCCAAATACATAACTCCAAACAGAACATAACGAATATGTCAGCAATAATTGGGGTTGTGTTGATATTTATACAGCATGTAGTTGGTCAGCCATTTCAAAGTTGCGACGAGTCACTCACTGTAAATGAGCAAATTAGCCAGTGCAGTACAACCGCTAGCCTGGGGTCTTTAACGTGCACCACGCAGTAGTGATACACGACCGCACGCCGGTACGATGCTCATCCAGATCGAAACGGGCAGGGGTGGGGATTGAACCCAGGATCCCTGAGCTCACTCCTAGAAATCCTGGGAATATGTCGATCAATAGCCATGCATTGGGATGGCAGTTTGATCGCAGACTAGACTGGTTGTTTGCCGATGCTGTTTTCAGTAGTGCCTATAAAACATTGTTTTGAGCCCTTGCAATGTGTTCTTGTCTTTCAGTGAACCTGTCCTTAGGGGAATACCATAGTGATACGAACCTCAGTACCTCCAAAGCACCCAGTGATGAAGACATCCCAAGGTAAGGTGCTTTAAAATCAAACCTTTTTTTCAATGAATACGGCAGAAAAAAGGCAATGCATCTCCTCTGCGGTCTTGTCTGTGGGGATCATGCAAGGAAATTTTCAACCATACTGCTGAATATTTTCGCATCGGGAGAAAGGCCCGTTACATTGCGGCCAATAAAAAGTGATAAAGCCCTGTCGCTCCATTTGCTACTTTTGATGCAGTGAAATTATTCAACAACAGTTTAATGAAGCCGTGTTCAAAAGCCATGTGGACACTGAAAGCTGCAGCAAAATTTGCTGCCATCTGAATGACTATATCATGAAATTTGCTGCCATCTGAATTTCATGACGAAATTATGAAATAGTACTCACACTTTCTGCTGTCACCATTCAACTCTACACTGACTTTGAATGAAATAGGTTGGTTCATTGAACCCATTTATAATCAGGCGGCATGAGTCAGCAGTCGGATTATTGCATACAGTCAGCAAGGAATGACTGCAGCTACTTAATCACTTTAAATGCATAGTGCACCTAAAGAAAGTCACCATTATTATATTTGTGTGCTGTTTTTTCTGTGGCACTTCACCAAAAGTACTACCGTAATAGTATCCCGAAAAATAGCCCAGTAAAATGGAGGAAATGTTTGGTGAAAATAAGGAGTAAGGTAGCCATCCTTGGTGTTTTAAAAGAAAATAGCAAATCAAGCCAAAAATAAGGGTGGGTTACCTTTCGAAGGTGACTTTTTTTATGGCTTAGTGTTTTTGGAAGGGTGCACTGCGCATGATGATTGTAATATGTACATATTTAAACATTTAAAATAAGCGTCATAAAAAGTCAGGTTCAGTTGTTTCTAAATTATTATAAGCCTGAAAGATACTTGGTATTGGACTGAGTTGAGCTATGAAGTATCGCTAGGTGGACACTTAATGGACGAATATTTGGAGGGCCATGGGTATTTGGAAGCATTCAGTACAGATGTCACTAAAGGCCCGTTCACACTCTTGGGATTGAGTAAGACCGAGAGAGACCAGACCGGTTTTTAAGCCTCTTACGATCTCTTAGGACCAGCTCCGCTGCAGCGCATCCGGTCCTAAGAAGTCGCAAAAGGTCTTGCTCGGTTGCAAGAGTGTGAACGGCGCTTAAAATGAACCGAACAAAGCAACCAGCACACAGGTTGAGGTGTTACCAACTGGCTAACTAAATTAAAGGGCATTACATGAAGAAATTAGCTATATTCTATTGTATTGCATGCAGGCACGTATAGCCAGAATTTTGTTTCGGAGGGGGCCCGCCCATTACAGAATGCTGTATGAGGGGGAGGGGAGAAAGGAGGTTCCAGCAAAATAGAAGATTTTGGGGGGGGGAGGCTTTTTTGCTTTTTCATAAGGAAAAAAACTTTCATATGTTCAAACACAAGCGTGGAGATTCACATTACAGCTTGCGCGCTGTGCGTCAGGGCTGTTCACGGCCTATCTGATTCTTGTTTTCTTCGGACCTGTGGAGGCTCCTGTGAAAAATGTTTTGCATCCACCAGAGTAAATGATGTGCTGTTATCTTAGTTGTGCACGAGTGCACAGTAAGGTTGCAAAGCGCCGCACACTTGTTTGACGTACATTAAAGACCGACGACCAGTTCGCGCTTTCCACTTTTCGCCCGCTTCCTCCTCTCCCTCCTACCCTTTCCACCCACGCCCGCCCCTCTTGGTCTCTTCTTTCCATCCTTCGCTTCCCTCGCCCGAAGGCGTGGAGAGGAGGGTCTTCTGCCTTGCAGAATCTCGAGTCTGGTCGTCGGCCTTTAAGCTTGCCGATACCGACGCTTCTATCCAGGTGTGACTTGACAGCTGCTGCCGAGCTAATGCTTGTCAGATACTGGTACTTAAAGCCTCCCTCATTGAATATGTGGCAAAGAAGTTTGTCACATGGCGAGTTCTGCTTGAAGAAAAAGCAGAAATTTTCATAACTTCTTAAATTGTCGGACATGGCCCGGCATATTCAGGCGATTAATTAATTTGTTCTATTCAGTCTTTACTAAGGATGTTTACAAATTTAAAAGCCCTCGTTGAGAAGTGCATCACGCTGTATGCGTATTTGGATTAGCAGATTTAATCACACAAGCAGTAGTAATTCATAGCAGGTGTATTCCTCATTTCTTGGGACACTAAAGTATCATCGACTTACATGTTTCGCGTCGACTGGGTGAATAAGCAGGAAATTAATTGAAACGACTCCGGAAGCTAACCACCACTTTTTCCTGCCAGTTATTTTGAGGAAATATTTATTTACTGGTTTACAAAATTCAAAAAGGAATCAACTTGAAACTAATAAGAGACCAGCACTCACAAAACACATTAGAATCAACAGGATACACGGAGTTGTTTCACAGAAGTGTTTACCACACACGCGAGAGGTTCTCGAATTTCGCTTTTCTGTTTTCAATTTGAGGAGACATTCATTTCTCAGTTTGACTTTTTCCGAATCGAATCGTAATAAAAACTACCCTACACCCTATTCGCTGTGGTAATATTGTGGTGGGATAAAGTGCTGAGTATTCTATTTTCATCATTCAACTTTTTGTACTGGGGTAGAGAACAGCACACCACAATCACAGCGCTTCGACACCTCAGCACTGAAAGTGCTTGTTAGCGTGATTATGCGTGCCACGGTTTCAAGCTTTGGTAAAATGTCCCACTACAAATATAACTTCACCAAATAAACACAATGCGTGAAACAAGCTTTGCCGCGCGTTACCCAAACAGCGCATGAAGCGAGCTGACAAGCCGAGAGATCCAAAATCCAATATCTGCACTGTCTGTCCCAGTCTGTCCTACCCATGACGTCACAAACGATGATGATGATAGCTAGAGAAGCGCCCCTGTAGTTTGCGCACGTGAGATACTGGATTATCTTCACGTTAGAACTTTTTACAAGCTTTTTACAGATTTTTACAAGGTAACACAATTAATGCAAAATATTCTTTTTTTTTTCTTTTTTTTATTGCAACTTGGAGCAATGTAGATCTTTGGATAAATCCAAATTGACAAGAAATGTACCAGAAAGTGTTTTGGGGGGATTTGTCGCTTTTATTCAAAGAGACAAAACCCTATCTAAGGTGATATCCCGAGAGATAGCCCACCTAAGATCAAGAGCAAATCGTGTGAAAACTGGGAGTAACCTAACAATCAATGTGTATCCAAAAAAAGCTGAAAAAAAAAGAACTTGTAGCAAAAGATTGAGAAGGCGTGCTTACAGTCGCTATCACTGTCAAACAAAATGTTGATCGCTTCGTCACGTGGGTCCTGTGACCTTTCAAGCTTGTTATCACTGCAGGGTGGCTATGAACCATGAATGAAAGTGGCGTCGGCACCACTTTATAAATGTGATACTAGTAGTATTTACCGTACACTGTCAACAGCAGAACAAAATATATTGAACCCTCTGGTAAAATACGCTATAGTTATAGTAAAATCACACTGCAATAATAGCTGCACAGTAATAAGACTAATTTTTAAATGTTCCTGTATTACCTCCTCGTGATGCAGCATTTGTGTTACAGAGGCCTATTGGAAATTTGTAACTTAGAAAAATTGAAAATTTGTAACTTCATTGTTCATCTGTAGAACTGACCATATGCTGGCATAAGTTGTAAAGTGTAACTTCATACTACAGTCATAACTGCCTGTGCGTTAACGTTAAAGCCCCCTATTGAAATTTGTAACAGATATCTCTATGGTTCGATCTTAGAACTGTTCATGCATTGACATTCCAACCAGTTGGAAATTGTAACATGTAACTTCGCTGTACAATTGTAGAACTGCACAGTAGGTTCCCGAAACTACCCAAGCATGAGCAGTTTTTGTAGCCTCCCGGTTTAATGCTAGAAAGATAGGGCCTTGCATTGGCATTACAACCTCCTATTGGATATTGTAATGTGTAACTTAATTGTATGATAGTGTACGTTACAGCCTGTTATGGGAATTTATAACATGTAACTTCATTGTAGAACGGCCCATGCATTGACACACGGTGTAATGTGTAACTTCAGCCTGCAATCGTAGAACTGCCGATTCGTTAACGTTACAGTCCCCTATCAAATGTTGTAACTTCATTGTATGATCATAGAATTGCGCTATGCATTGACGTTACAGCTTTCTATTGAAGTTGTGGCACGCAACTTCATTATAGAAGTACCCATGCATTGACGTCAGTTGTAACATATAACTTCAGCATACAATTGTAAGTGCCCATGTGTTAACATTGCAGTCCTTTATCAGGAGTTGTAAAATGTAACTCCATTTTACGATCATAGAACTGCCCATGTATTGGCGTTACAGCCTCCTATTGGAATTTGTGGCGTGTAAGTTGTAATATCACCGCACGAAAGTATACAACTGCTTCTGTAGAAGACGATCCAATTTGGCCAGGCGCCACGACTCCTCGGAGACGTATTTGTTCCCGGTTCTCTTTCCCACGGTTCAAACACACGGTTGCCCCGGACGACCCTGGGCTTTTGGAGCGCGGTGCCGCGGCTTCGGGGTGTTTCTCCGAATGACGTCAACCAGGGCTTCGTGTTTAGGCTTCTGCTACTGGGAATGCGTGTTTATGCTTCCCGATATAGCGTCGCCGGATTAGGGCCCGCACCCGGGAGCCTGGTTTGCTCTACCAAAGCCGCCTGTATGCTCTACGGGATGCGATCTTCGTGTTCGAAACTTCGAAGGGATCTAGGAGCGTTTCGCGGCTGCAACCAATTGCAACGCCTTTGTGTCCAGTTGAATGTCAATCCTTTGGCATTCGGTTTTATTTGTTGGGTCATTTGTTTCTACGTGATAATGATATTAAAATGTTATATCGAGTAAGGGAAGAGTCTTCGCGACGCAGTTGACCTCGGCCTGAGATCGCCATTTTGTCGCTCTTACGTTGGCATAGTTGTTGGCGCCAAACAACAAAATGTATAACCCAATTTGGTACTACACTCGAGCACAGCCACTGCACGCTAAAAGATTTGATATAACACG